ATGGGGAAAAGTAGATACACACGGGCCTACAGAATATTTTTTTTTTTGTAGAACATGTGTTGATTGAGAAGAACAAAAGTACATGCAAATATTAAGAAGTGAACACACCTTAGCAGTAACACTTTGCAAAGATATTTCTAGTTCCTAATGGATTGCAAATGGTAACCCATGGGGTGAAGATTTTTGTCTTGTGGTATTTGGGAATTCTCTGGAATGTATTTTTTTTTTTACCAAAAGCTCAGATAGGATCTATAATTTCTGTTAAAGTTTGTAATAAATTCTGACTAACGTGTCTAGTATATTTCTCACAGGCTTAGGGGGCTTTTTTCCCCTCCTTTTTTCACACTGTGGCTTTAAATGGTGCCAGGAAGAAATTTAGAATCTAAACTAGCAGTTCAGGATCAAAATTGGTTCAGGAGAAAGAAAAATAATCTATTATTGTTATAGAAAAAATCTAATCCATTTTACATAGGTTTGGACTAGAGAGGAACTGGATCAAAGAGAAGTTAGAAAATATATTTTACTTTGAGAGTTGAATGCTGAAAAGTACTCAGAGTAGCAATGCACATGGGTTCCTTGATAATCCCATTTAAATCACAACTATAACTTTCAGGTACAGATTGTTTGTTTCCTCTTTCATGTCTTGACCTTTATATTGCTTCTGAGAATTCAAAGAAGCCATTAAAACCTTGCCATATCTAACTTGGCAATATACACAATACAGAGGAAGGATGTGTCTAACCAACTTTGACAGGCATGGCATATCAGCCAATTTTTTCAATATACACAACATTTACATAGGGATTTTTTGTCACATATTTCGGAGATATATGCTAAATCTAAAATTGTAATGACTGCTACAAGATTCATTTGCACCAAGGGGATGGGATTCTGGCAGGGCAAGTGGAAAGCACAGTCAGCAGGATGTACCTAAGTATCTCCTGTTTAAGGATCATGATCCTAAGGGTGGCATGCAGTCCTTGTCCCTTCTCCTGGCCCTTCCATTTCTGCAGGTCTCCTTCTCAGGATCTGCAATGGAAGAGTATGAATACCCTCAATATCATAATTTGCTTCCTCACACTCCCCAAGATTCCCTTTAACAATGAACCAGCTTACAGATTTTACCCATCAGACCTCTCTTCCACTCCCAAGAAACTTCTAGGGAGGTAAATGAAGGAAAGCAAAGCAGACAGCTTCTGCCAGCAATTTCTGTGAAGGTTTATTCAAGCCAGTGCCAGTCTGGACTATGTTTCTCTTTGTGAGCGGTAATGGGTGTCCAGGTTCACCCATCCTGTGCCCTGCTTCTGCCTATCTACTACTTATTGCAAAAAGACCTGGCATCACACCAGTCCAAAAGTGCACATACTAGGTAGCCCACTAAATCTCCCAGTTCTGCCCCAAATCCTTGTCTGGTCAAGAGAAGGGAAAGGAATTATTTTCAGCACTATGAATTATTTAGAGGGAAGAAAGTACTGCACTGGAAATGTTTCACAACTCCATATCAAATATCAAACAATGAATTTTTTTATATGTGGATTTCTTGGCGTTGGATATTTTCCATGCAGTGGGTGTTTCCATTCCACCAAGGCATGCATATTTTAAAATATATTTTGTAAAATTCACTTTGTTGGTTTTCAGGTCAAAAGGGAAATTTCTTGCCTTTTCTGGCTATTGTCTGTTTAGCAATAAAGCACTCAGTACAGAAGGATAAATTATGGTAGCCCATGGGAGTCAGTGCCATATTGTGCAACTCACACAAACACCCATGGGATTGCAGAGGGGAGCTCTGTTTGTTCAATAATAGGATCTGGTACTTCTCATAACAGGAGGTCATATTACCTTAAAATGCCTCTGCCCCTTAGGTCTGCCTGATGAATAACATCTGTTCCCAAAAGAGCTGCCTCTCCAGCAGGAGAGATGGGCTCCATGGCATGACAAAAACAAAAGCAGTCCACAAGGAGTCCTGTACGGAGGGAGTAAGTGGCCACAATAAGAAACAGAATCCTCACTAGGGGCCTGATTCAAACCCTACTGGAGCCAACAGGAAAAATTCCAGCAGATTTCAGGGGGTCTTGGGTTAGGAAGCATGCATACCCGTCTCTGCTTATATAATGGCAACACTATTAACAATTATGAGACATGTCAGTTGAGATCAAATGTTTCTCCAGCCCTATAGCTTCTCATCAACACACACAGTAAAACATGGTTCACTTCACAGTCATTTTCGTGCAATAAAGGGAGGTTTTACTGGAGTAAGTGGTAGCAGATATGTTTCTCTATACCTAAGAAAGCCCTAAAATGTAACTTGAAGAGTGGAATCACCAGTTTTCTTGTGGCAGAAAAGTTACTGCAACAAGAGGTAAGTGGGAAAGGGACTCCTCTGTTTTGCTTTAATTCAAAAGAACACAGTAAAATCCAATTACTAACAAGTACAATTAACATTTAGCTTTCATCCAGCTCCTTGCATCCCAGGCAATAAAATCAGAGGAATATAAACTGAATTTTCACTGGAAGTCAGAAAAAATTCAGCTGAAAGGACTTGGGAATAGTTAGCTGGGAAATGGTAATTCAGTTTCACAAGCTTCAGGGTTTTAAAATGAATTTAGTTCTTCAATGGAATAAAAAAAAATAATAATTCTGAATATTTTGTGAAAATGAATTATTTTTTTTTGTTAATATAAAGCACAACTTTTTCAGCTCTGATTCACTTTTTTCCCTTCCTGCTACCCCTCTAACTCTGCCACCAGAGGTAGCTGCAGAACCTGGATCACAAACTCTTGTCAGTTCATTTTTTTTTTCAAAATCAATACATCTATGGGAGTTATTTTGTCTTTTCATAAAAAAAAAAAAGAATCCATTCTGTTAAAAATGTTCAGAAACAAATCTGCCTGGGAGAAGTTCTTAACTTGTCCCAAAAATCTGTTATCTTACATATCTAACTGGATAGCCAGCTGCTCAGCTATGAAGCTTTGGGTGAAAAGCACACAGTGAATTGCTGAAATGAGAGTCCTACACATTGAAGATGTCTGGGTTATTTTTCTGTCTATTTTTTACACAGGATATAAATTCTGCTATATTCCATTCAGCCTAGTCTTGCTGCATAAAAAATATATATTTAATTAAAATATTCTTCCTCATAATTTTGTTCTGTTTAACCTGATCCCAAGGATTTTAAGGATCTACCTGGAAGTATTAGGAAAAAATGTCTGTCTAGACTTATGTTCCTCTATTTATCCATGTGTTCACTTCACCATGGAATTGGCAAACAAATCTTAGCTGTTTTTAAAAACAAAGGCAAATGCAAGAGCCTTCTGCCAACTGCATTCCTTTAAGTATAAATTACAAGATTACAAAATTTGCCTTAGACATAAAACCTTCACCCTGGTGGAGCATTCTGACTTTTCCACAGAGAAAAACTTGCTTATTTTTCTTAGAGGTCAGAAGGCTTTTTGTTGTTGTGCTGACATTTTGCATCATCTTCTTCCTTTCACAACTGAAAGAAAATATGCTGTGCTGAAATGACAATGAAAACTCACTGCTCTGCTTAGTTGATGTGGATCATACACATCTGTCCATCATCAGGTTAATCACAGGGGCCAGAGGAGGATGCCTTAATTCCCCACATATAGAGGAGCTAAACATAACTAAATCTTTTGTCTTCCATTGATTGCACCACCACTTCTAAAAGCTCTGCCTTCAAGAAGTGGTGCCTTATAGGTGGGGGGGGAAAGGAGAATATTCCAATCTGGAACAATCGAACATGCTCTGTCACATCTGACCTTCATGTCTCGATAATCCCTTAAGCACAGCTCATAAATACTGGGAGCTTGGAGACTGGCTGTGTGAATCTGGTACATTCAATGGAGTTCCAGGGAATGCACAAAAGGATAATACATATTCTGAAGGCAAAAGCATGTGCTGTTTTCTTGGTCTTCTATCAAATGTGTATTGCTAGTAGTTTAATTGCTATTTATTGAGTAATGCCAGTAGTTCATACAGGGCACAGAAAGAATTGCTGTATATAAACAGAACTGCTTTTCATCTGTTTCTCTCTTTTTCATTACCCCTTTTATGCATTTCATAGAAGTCATAGCTCCACATGATACAGATTTGAAATATTGTGGTTTGAAAAAAATGAGAAGAGTGCAAACAAGTAAGCAGCAAGAGATAACCTCATCACATTGAAAACACAACTAGTCAGCAACACTTTTCCCAGGAACAACTAGTGAAAAGGACGTAAAAAATAACTTTAATCTCATTTAAATGGAAAACAGTAAGAATAAAAATTGTATGCATCTAACTAGACAACTAGATGTTCCACTGAGCTGAGTTTACTAGTTTTATTGACTTCAAAATATTTACCCTTTTTGTTTATTAGTGGACTAGTAACTTCAGTTTAGTGCAGTGCCAAAATCTTTGGAAGCATTGACAAAAAAATTAACTGCAGCGTAAGAAAATGAAAGGGACACATGACACAAACTTGTTACATAAACTCACAGAAGCATTCCCAAGTGGAAAATGGAGGAAAGATGAAAACAAAAGTCACCTTCAGGTGATCTGGCTCCTGGTAAATCACATCTTCACCTCAGGTTATGAGAATGGTATAACCTCAGGACTGGACTTTTATATTTGCAATAGGGTTTGAAATGAGCAAAGGGAACTATTTTGTTGGTAGGAAAGAAGTCAAGATGCAGATCCAGTTCCAAACTTTTGAAGTCTGTAACCGTTTAATAACAGCACAGAGACAAAAATGCATCTGAGAACTTAAAAATCTAGATCTGGATTCACATGTTTTGTCTTTGTCACACACAGGTAGAGGTTATTCCTAAAGGGATAATATATATTGTAAAGTCTCTTTGTTAGCCAAAGCTGACTAGTACTGCTGAACGCATCTTCTACCTTTAAACTCGTTCCAAGTAGTTCTTCTGGGAACCATTTTTTTAAAGCAAATGGACTCATTTCATTAAAATATCTGTTTTGTTTTCTTTCCTCTGCAGGCTTAAGTGACATTTGGGTATCTCATTAGCAGAATAGAAATGAATAACTCAACGTACATCAATTCTTCCACTGAAAATGTGATGGCTTTGGAGAGCCCCTATAAAACTGTTGAGGTGGTCTTCATCGTCCTGGTAGCAGGGTCTCTCAGCCTAGTCACCATAATTGGGAACATCCTGGTCATGGTGTCAATCAAAGTCAACAGGCACCTACAAACTGTCAACAACTATTTCCTGTTCAGCTTGGCCTGCGCGGACTTGATCATCGGCATCTTCTCAATGAACCTATACACCCTCTACACTGTGATAGGCTACTGGCCCTTAGGGCCCGTGGTGTGCGACCTCTGGCTGGCTCTTGACTATGTGGTCAGCAACGCCTCTGTAATGAACCTCCTCATTATCAGCTTTGACAGATACTTTTGTGTCACCAAGCCTCTAACATATCCTGTCAAGAGGACCACTAAGATGGCAGGCATGATGATCGCAGCTGCGTGGGTGTTGTCCTTCATCCTGTGGGCTCCTGCAATTCTCTTCTGGCAGTTCATTGTGGGAGGAAGGACTGTCCCAGATGGGGATTGTTACATCCAGTTTTTTTCCAATGCTGCTGTCACTTTTGGCACTGCCATTGCAGCCTTCTATTTGCCTGTTATCATCATGACTGTCCTTTACTGGCAAATCTCTCGAGCCAGTAAGAGTCGGATAAAGAAAGGGAAAAAGGAAGCTGCTCAAAACCAGGATGCGGTTTCTCCCAGCCTTGTCCAAGGTAAAACAGTGAAACCAAACAATAACAACATTCCAAGCAGTAGGGATGGGTTAGAGCACAGCAAAATTCAGAATGGAAAAACTACTGAAGAAACTGTGACAGAGAATTGTGTCCAAGGGGAGGAGAAGGAGAGCTCCAATGATTCCACCTCTGTCAGTGTGGTCGCTTCCAACATGAAAGAGGATGAAGCTGCCAAAGATGCCAGCCAAGCTTCTGCCTCCCAAGACCATCTCAAAGTGGAGAACTCCAAGTTGACATGCATCAGGATAGCTACCAAGTCCCAAAAGGGTGACTACTGTGCCCCCACCAACACTACTGTGGAGATTGTAGGCACCAATGGGGAGGAGAAGCAGAATAGTGTAGCTCGGAAAATCGTCAAGATGACAAAGCAGCCAGCCAAAAAGAAACCACCTCCTTCTAGAGAGAAAAAAGTGACAAGGACTATTTTGGCCATCCTGTTGGCCTTCATCATCACCTGGACCCCATACAATGTGATGGTGCTCATCAACAGCTTCTGTGCATCCTGCATCCCTGGCACTGTGTGGACAATAGGTTATTGGCTCTGTTATATCAACAGCACCATCAACCCTGCTTGTTATGCACTCTGCAATGCTACTTTCAAGAAGACCTTTAAGCATCTTCTTATGTGTAATTACAAGAATATAGGAGCTACAAGGTAAAAATCATAATAAAAATAATAATGGGAAGGGTGAAGAAGTTCCAAATTTAATGAAAAATAATAATGCCATAGCACTTTATGCTCTTCTATGGAATGTGCAATCCAGGATGTTAGTGGAAATTCTGAAATGGAGCATCAGCTCCACCCCAGAGAACTACGCTTAAAAACATTTTTTTTAGTTATTGAAAATAAATCTTGAGGACATGGGGATGTTTGAAGAATTATTCAAGTATGTGGACTGGAGGCACAATTCCTTGTTTTCTGAGAGTATTCTGCAGAAGGGCTTTAGAGTCTATGATTTTTCATCATTCAGTGTAAAATACTTGTAATATTTGTTCTTTTTTTCTTATCTTTTTTCTTTTTTTTTTTTTTTTCACTCTGTGTCTGTTTAGTATGTCTTCATCTATGAAATTTCTAAAAAGGGAATTTTAACAGTAACTGTTTGAAAGATACTTAGGAGTTTTCAAGATCATTACATAATCTAAATTAATCATGGTAGAAGGTTTCTAAAACTCCAAGTTGTCTAGAGTTTTTTTGTCACTGTCATGTAAGAACATTAATGTTAGGAAAATCATTATGAAAGTTATTCTATGTTGTTTATGACACATTACCATTTCTAAAACTGTATGAGTTCTGAAAGTGTACTTATGCTCAACATGTAACCATTGCCTAACCTGTGTATCATTTGAAGTCTGCCACTTGCCCCCTTCTAGGGGCTTTTGTTTCATGATGCCTTCATCACTTCAAGGTAAAAAAATAGATGGACTTTTCCAGATTACTACATCCCAAGACTGTTTCAGCATCTGTGAAAACCAAAGCTCTTGAGAGAATTTTGTTCACTTTGTTTGTCAAATAACTTCCACCTGTGGATTTGTCTTTTATCTCAATCAATATTTTCTTCCTTTTTCTTCCTTACTTTTCCAGGGCACAAAGACTGAATATCAAAAGAATTTGTAAATTCAAAGGTCTCATCCAGTCAGCCGCCATGGTGGCCAAAAAGAATGTCTCAGCTGAAGTACAGAAACAAGGTTATTACTAGGAAAATTAAGGTTACATCCTTTTAAAGTTGGATGTACAGATGAAGACTAGTTAGCCTAGCCTAACTAATTAATAGTTAATACTATATGATCATGCTCTTGACCAGTCAAATGATGATTCATACTCATTTGTTGAGAAAAAGAGTAAGATGGACTGATGTGCCAATGTGGATCAAGCTCTGTCTAAGACCTTTGTGTGAAACCAAGGTCCTTCCTGGGTGTATCCTGGACAAGATATTTACTTTGTTAAAAAGTTATTGGCTACATTGCCATTTTACCATCTGGGAGCAATATGTTGACTGTAAGCCAAGGGATAACACTAAAAAAAAGTCAGGGAAGAAAACAGTGATTGCACAAAACCAGATACTAAAACGGTCTGGATGGGGGGCTGGAAGGGGTCAAGTTCAAATATTATCTGTTATGCCACACCAGCTCATATTTGGATTCTTTCTGCCAGACAAGAGATCTATTTCAATATTTGATATTTACTGTAGCACACCTGAGCACTGTGTGGACAGGACAAAGTGTATCAGATTACTAGAAACAGCAATTGTCTGTGAGTTATGCATATTCTGGCTACCTACTTCTGAGTGACTCACAGGAGCCAGTGAAGGTACACCAACAGATTTATTTTTTGTTTAATCCAAAAAAAAAGTAGCTTGCTGCATAGAGAGTGTCCTGAGAGACTACCTTCTGGAGTGAAAGCCACCTACCAAGTAGAGCACCAGATCATTCTGTTCTTTCATGCTGCTACATTAGAGTCTTCCAAAATGCACTTCAAAATAGCAGCCTTCAAGATCACAGGGAAATTAATCTTGCATACTTAAGTTTTACATTTGACAAGCTTATTGGAACACAGTGTCAAAGCACTTTAGCAATATGACCATTTTCATGTTTCAAAGTACAAGTTCCTAGCAGAAAATGTAAATGAGGAGGATTAAACTGCTGTAAATTAAGGCCACATTAAACTCAGAATTAATGTGTCTTAACATGCATTCATTGATTTTATACCCCAAGTGATTTCATCCTAATATAGCAAAGTGTCTCCATGCAGCTGGAGATCTAATTTTGCAAACCTTGCTTTCCTTGAGTCATATTTACTATCACTATTTTCATCTTCCTGCTTGCAAGAAAGAATAACTCAATAATAAGTATTGCAAAACCGAGCGCTGTTTGTCATTCAAATTTACATTCACCAGGTTTATCTTGACTGGTCAAGGGAAAGACTTACATGATCATTTCTAGATCACTCATTCTCTTCCAGTGTTAAAAAATCCAGATGAAAACCGAAGCTAAAATGAAATAAGTTCTTTTTTACGAATGTCACTTCTTTAGAAAAATGTCATAAAAGAAATGTCTCTGCTCCTTTCAGCAAGTGCTATGGGTATCAATAATACAGGTACTCAAATTGGGAAATAATGGTTTGTATATTCTTATTTAATCTTTTAACTCAAATTTTCCAACATGTGTACAAATCTTTTTTTCTGACCTTCGAAGCTGTCTCTTGTTCATAAATAATGAACTCTTCTAGAAGCTAAGGACACTTCTACAGGTTAAGAAGTGCAAGATATAGATTACAATTGCACTTTTTCATCATGTGGTGTGACGACACTAAAAATACCATGTCAAATAAAATAAATTTGGTGCCAGCATTCATGAAAAAAAAAAAAGAAAAGAAGAGGAAAAAGATTCTTAAAATATTAGATGTTTGTGTTATATTTAAAAGGCTTGCAGGATACACTTTCTTGTGTGTTTCCACCTTGTGCCAGTCCAATTAAAAAATATTTTGGTGGTGCATCTGCATTCACAGCCAAGTGAACCATGTAAAAATAGACCATGTAATGCACCTACACATGTATGCACAGACACACAAACACACACCACAACATGGTTTATAAACATGCAAAATAATCATTTAATATTGCATAGGATTTTGACTGTGTTTTGTTGATTGGCAGCTGGTGGTAAGCACAGAATCAACACTTACACTTGACGCTGCACACCCCCTCTTGGAAGCAGAGAGGAGTCAGAACTTGCCCTAAGATACTGGGAACCTCTTGGGTCTTCAACTGGTTGTGGCTCAGTATGACAAAAAGTGGGATAATCTTTCAGAGCCACAAAATCAATTGTTATTTTGAACATCCTTTGAGCTCTCATGTCTTTCCTTTGTGTCCCAAACAACGCTCACTAGGTTTCACTTCCCTTCTGAGTGATAGTTCTGCAAGATCTAGATGTCGATCTTGAAGAGCAGCACTACCCGGGTACCTCCTCTGGCTTCCTGGATGTCAACCTGCACTCCCTGTTGCCCCAAGGCCCCAGGTGGCCCTGCTGCTGATGCTGTCACATCTTCATCTTGGGCTTGGCCAGACGATCCCAGTGGCACTTCGACACTACCTGCTGCACTGGCCACTTTCATTTCACATGGAAATTGAGCAAACTGTGCAGGTGATCCATGAGGAAAAAAAACCAAACCAAAACCAAAACCAAACAAACAAAAAAACCAAACAACAAAACAACTGCAACAAAAAACTGCAGCTATCACTTTTTGCCTTCTCCTTTTCTTCCTCTTGATTATCTCCAGAAACAGACTACAACTGTAAAGGCCCAAACAACTCTTGTCAGAAACCCCACTGCAGCAAGATCTGTCGCACTGGCAGCCCCTGGGGAGCATCTTGTACTGTCACAGGTCAGTCCTACCTTCATTCTCCAGGTAGAGAACAACAGCCTGAAGATATGTCCATCCAATTGTCACCTTTTCTGAGTATTAAAGATAAAAAAAAAAAAAAAAAAAAAAAAAAAAATATAAGAAAAAAAAAAAAAAAAAAAAAAAAAAAGAAAGAGAGAAAAAGCAAATGAGAAATAAAGAAAGAAGATGAAGTAATGTTGAGAATCTGTTTTCCAGTGAGGACAAAACCTGAGAAAAAATTCTGTCAGCCTTCTTTTTTTTTTTTTAATTGATTTACTAGAAATCCTCTCAGAGATAGCAAAGTGTTTGAACATTGTCTGATGAAAAGTTGTCCAAAGGCAACAAACACATCTATATAGATCAGATTGCTTTTTCTTTCCTTCTTTCTTTCTTGCCTTATAAATGCTCAGATGGAGATGGGAGAGCTCAAACTGAACCCAGGGATCAGTTGTTTGACGTCCACAAAGCATGAAGGGGACAAAAGCAAATGCTAAATCTATCAGCCCTCTGTATTTTTATTTTTCTGATGGAGAAAAACACATTGACAAGAGGATGCATCTTTAGTGAGTGTGGCTTTGGTGAGAACTGCTCACACACTGGTAAGAAAACCCTTGGGGTGTCCCAGCTGCTTCTGGCCATCCCAGCTGGAACAGGGGCAGGAGGGGATGGTCCTTCATTTGTTGTGACTTCTCTTTTATCTGCCCATCTGTCTTGACAAAAAGCTTTCCTCCTTGCTCACTTTAACAAGTAAGTCACCTAGATTTCAGCTACAGGTGTGCAGTTTCTCTTGCCCTTCAAGTACTACAAATGTTGGAATTGAAACTCCTCAACCTCCATCAAATACTGCCTTCTCTAGCATGCAAATCCCCTTCCACTCTGTGGAGTGAGAAGTTCCATAAATCGTTTCTGCAGGGGTTTTAAATTGGAAGTGAAAAAAACCGCTCACAGGAAATAAAACCAAAATAATTCTCTTCTTCCCCAGTTTTGTTATCTTCTTATTAGAAACAACAGTGGATGATGGCAAAGTGCAAATGTTTTGTGTCGGAATATCATGCAGCAACACGCACAGATTAATTTTATGCCCTGTGCAATGGTAAGGCAGCCCTCCCTTTCCTTGTATGTCCTTTCATTCCTATGCTTTTCAGCACAGTAATCACTGAGAAAGCAAGCCTAAGAATGTAATTATAAGAAGGCTGAGTTGGACATGAATCATTTATCACAACCAATGCAATCATTTCTCCTATATTTTTACTTCCCTCCTTTTGCTATGGTCTCTTTTGCTACATTGTGAAACTACTGCTTGAGCAGAAATTACAGGTTACAGAAGCATATCAGTCCTCCCAGACCTCGTATTTCAGGATACCGGGTAGATTTGTTCTATAGATTTAATTCTGGTATTAGCTAAATAAAATTAAACACTTTCTGGTGTCTTTTA